AGAGACCAAGGTGTACGTGGGGAACCTGGGCACGGGCGCCGGCAAAGGCGAGCTGGAGAGAGCCTTCAGCTACTATGGACCGCTGAGAACCGTGTGGATCGCCAGGAACCCACCGGGGTTCGCCTTCGTGGAGTTCGAAGACCCCCGCGATGCTGAAGATGCTGTGCTTGGCCTCGATGGGAAGTACGTGCATGCCCGGAACTTTTCTGAGGGCCGCAGCCCTCGATCCCCCGACCCCACACCAGTCATGGATTTCCGATAATCGTTGCTTGAGCTCATCAGAAGAAAATATTTGTTTGGCTAATACCTGCTGTGTCTTGCAGAATAATATGCGGCTCCAGGGTCAGAGTGGAAGTATCCACAGGGATGCCGCGCCGCTCCCGCTACGACCGGCCCCCTGCCCGGCGCCCCTTCGACCCCAACGACAGATGCTACGAGTGTGGTGAGAAAGGCCACTATGCCTATGACTGTCACCGCTATAGCCGGCGAAGGAGGAGCAGGTACGTGCGGGGCCGGGGCTGCCGCGTTGCTTCGCCAGCTCGCTTTTGTGTAGTTCTTGTTAGCAAAGAACACAATGTTACACCAGTTTTAACTCTAATTGTCGTAAGTCAACAGGTGTATATCACAATTTTTTTTTTGCTAATACATATAAAATGTTAATATTTTAATAATCAACCTGGTCAAAACCTTTCAGGTTTCTTCGTTTGAGTCAGTCGCCTTGATTCAGAATGTCACGAGCCTTAAGATTTCATGCTGAGGCGCCTTGCAAATCCGACACTTAAGATCCTCCTAGACCTTGAGGTGATCAGCATAAGAGGCCAGATCCCCTCGAGCCATCTACACGTAGCTTCACCTTATTCTTTAAGGGCAGAAAATTTGAGACGGTGACCGCCGTAACAGTAAATTTGGCTTTCAATTGGGGCCCCCCTCCGGTTTAGAAAGAGGAACACCAGATTGACCACATTCCCACCTAGAAAAATCTTCTTGCGTCAATCAAGCCTCACCCTGGCTCATTGGGCTGTCAGTTTGATCGTCGTTAGATTGAAGAGAACACCTACCTAGATGCAGCGCTCGCCTATAGATACTTCTAGATCGTCTAGATCTGCTAGACCTTGGGCCAAAGAGGGTCGACCTGCAAACTTGCAAGGTTTATTTTAAATACGCATTACAGTGTTTTCTATTCTAATGTAATTCTGCAATGTAATTCAGCTTTAACATTTTTCTAGGTAGTAAAAATGATCAAGACAAGTAGGCCCAGACATTTTTCCAACTGACAGATGCTAGTGGTGTGTTTTTGTTGTTTTGTTTGGTTTGGTTTTTCTTTTATTATTTTATTTTTAAATTCTCTTTTTAGTTGTCTGAAAAAAGTTTTGACTTCAGCAGGGCCTCACACGTGCTGGGTGCAGCAGCTGTCTGCTGATACTGGTTTTTTCTAACCTAAACCCAGGTCCCGGTCTAGATCCCGCTCGAGGTCCCGTGGAAGAAGGTATTCCCGGTCACGCAGTCGCAGCCGTGGTAGGAGGTAGGGCTCTACCTTCTGTGTTTACATTCCCACTCCTCCCTCTGGGGGCCCTTCCTTTTCTGTAGTTTTTGTAAAAAAGCCTTGCAGTGATGGGTTGGTTTTTTTTGCTTTGTTTTGTAGATCCAGGTCAGCTTCCTACCGCAGGTCCAGGTCGATCTCTCCTCGTAGATACAGATCATTCTCACCCCGCAGGTCCCGCTCTGGTTCTCTAAGAAGATCAAGGTATGTGGTTGCAGTTAAACCCCCACAGTATTGTTGAAGGGCACATAAGTTGGAGCTGAAGTATCAAGTATCTATATATAACGTATATAATGTAATCAGTAAGTTTGTTTTGCAGTCCATATGTTGGTGGGAACTTTGGTGGTGTTACATGCGTAAGAGCTACTCTGAACACTTTGTTGAAAATTTAAGCGTATAATTTTGGAAATGCTGTTTCTAAGATTGTGCCAAAGTTACAGCCTTACTGTATGGTTAAGGTTTCCAAATTCAGCTTGAAGTGTACAGGGTGGAATTGCATAGTCCAGGAAAACAGTGGGATTCTTTTTACATGCATGGCGCTACTGACCAAAGGTGCTACAGCCTTCTAATAATAAAAATTACTTCTTCAAAACCAATAGTCCATAAAGTTCTCAGTTTTCTGGGACATTTACAGTAACTGGTTTTGTCTCACTTGTGTGAAGCATCTGATAGCAGAGCTTTCATTGGTTTTTTTCCAGATCTAGGTCCAGGTCACGCTCCAGGTCCCGGTCTGTTGTATGGCCTCGAAGCAGGTGAGATACTTGTTTTAATTCAAACCAGTAATGGTTTTGGTGTGTTGTTTGGTGGTGTGTTGTTTATTTTTTTTCTTTCCTGGGGGGATTTGTCTGGAAGCACTTAGAAGGCTGTCCAGCAGAACAATATTTACACTTAATAATTTATGCTTTGTCACAGACCAAAGTAGTGATGTACAATATAAGGTCTGTGGAGAGAGTTTTTAAAAACAAGTTCTTAGGTGTGTAGTAAATTGAGGATGGGTTTGTGTGCTGTGCTGCCTTTTACTTAGCAGTAGAAGAGATGCTCATGCTGCTGAGTACCAGTTCTGGGTGGCTGTGAGCATTCCCATCTTCAGTAACTGTGATCCAGTAAAAAATTACTTGTTATGGGGGGAAAATGGGACAGACAGTGGCTCAGAATAGTGACCAGGAAGGTTTCAAAGCAGTGGCACATAACATTTTGTTTAACATGTGCCAGCAATGTCCTTGTAGCATTTCATGAGCTATTAGGCAAGGCAAAGGTGAATCTTGATTACCCTTCAAAAACAGTTGTGAGCAGAAATAAAAGTATTCTGCTCTTTTGGCCAAGCTTGTTGAAAGGAACATTCTGATGCCGAGTGATAGCCTGAATTCTGACACCCCAGGAAGATATACTTTTTAAATAACAGCAAATATTTGAGTTGATAAAAGTAATGCAATAAATTGGAAAGTGGGAGGAAAGTCTCACTGTTTAAGTAGATAATTCCTGAAGTGAATTTGGAATAGTTTACTCATTAGTAGCCAAATCTTGGTGCAAAATCTATATTATGCTCAAATAAAATTGGCATTGGAAACTTGAGCTAAAGAATGCACCAGCTCTTCAGCACAAATGCTTACTTGTGGCTGATTCCAGGCTCTTAATGTGCTGTTAAAATACTTTCTAAGATCACACTTGAAACTATTTTTCCCCTTCTAGAAGGGATATTCACAGGTAGGAAGAAAGTGTGGGAGTCTGGTCTGGCGTTTTGTGGAACTGGCAGCTGAAGCTTTGCTGGGGAGCTTCCTGTGCTTGCACTTGTACCTTCTGATGGGTGGGGTCTCTGCAGTAAGAGCTAAATGATTCCCTTGGAAGGTCCCAGGGAAGGCCTGCAGCACCAGAGCCTTCCCTCTGGTTGGTGCTGCTGTGTGGGGTGAATCTGCTGTTGCTGGTGTAGCTAACTCTCAATGTGTTTGCATGCTCACTGGCTGCTTTGCTGAGCTTTATTTTTCTCCTGTTGTAGGTCTGAGTCTCATGGTAGATCTAAATCTGGCTTACCTGCTAAAAGGTGAGCGTTCAAATAAAAGTACCACTCAGGTGGTTTTTGTTTTGGTTGGTGGGGTTTTTTGTGGGGTTCTTTGCTTTTTTTGACTCCTGATTTAAAAATGTGTTTGGACCACTATTTCAGTTGCAGGGTTGTTTTTTTTTACTTTCCATAGCTGATTTCAAAAACATTTTTCATACATTATGGGGCTTTTTTTAACAGCTGATTTTTTTTAGAGGGACAGTAGGCAATTATTCAGGGATTCCACATACAGATGTTTTTCACTCATAACCACAAGAAAACACTCTTGCCAGGATTTGGGGCATATTTTCTCTTACCTTTGTTCTCAAATGTTTGTAGTTCTCCCTAACTCTGCTCGATTCACTGCTCCTGCTTTGCAGGGTTACTGTGATTTACAGCAGCTTTGAAGCTGTGTGTTGCTCTTTTCCCGAGGGCTCCGGCTTCCAGCATTTTTTCCTTCTCACTTGCAGCTTCTTGCTTAAAGTAACTGGGTACACTTGCTACCAGCAGTGTCAATGCATTTAACAACATCAAATTGTTCTGATTTTAAATGGTCAGAAGTGGTTACTGAGAGCACCCAAGTGTAGCAACCACACTGATTGGTTTGTTTGTTTGTTTGTTTTTAAACAGCCGCTCAAAGTCCAGATCACCATCTCCAAAGAGAAGGTAGGAATGTCTTAAAACTGGATTGTGTCCTAGGGCTCAATAGCACTTGGGCTGGAGCAGTTCCTAGAGAAGTTAACTTGGGCAAACTCAGGTTTTTTACTTGCCTAAATCTGTAACCTATGAGAAGATGAATTGTTTGCGGGCATTTCCTGCTGCTGGTAGTCAGAATGTCATGATAATAACTCCTAAGGAAACCTGCTTTAATGAAATGTTAGAGGAATTTAAAATCTAGGGAACAAGTGAGTAATGTAAGGCATGGAGCAAGCCATGAGAGTGGTGTAGGATTACATTCCTGCTGGTGACTCCTGCAGCCTCAGGAGTTTCACAGGAGCCTCAGGAGTTTCACAGGTGCCAAGCTGTGCTATGCTCCATGAAGGAAGAAGTTTTCCTGTGTTACCAGAGAAGTATGTGCTGGAATTGAGATTTCTGAGCAGGCTTGATGTCTTGGCTCTCTGAATTAGTCTTCAGTTTTCAAGCTTGAAAGAGTTTTTAAGTTAAAGACAACACTTCTTTCATTGTTTGAGAACTGTAAATGAAAGTAGGGGCAGAACTCCAGAGGAAGCCTGGGGTAACATGCAGTTTATGTTGGTTTTGTTGTAGGAGTTGTTAATGGTTTGTTGTCTTTTTTTTCCTTTCAGTCACTCACCATCTGGAAGCCCTTGAAGGAATGAAAGTCCTAAAAGAATGGGTTCAAATTTAAGAAGTTTAGTAAAAAACATATTTTGTTTACATTATAAGGGATTTTGTGATGTAAGGGCTTAGTCCTAGAAGTCTCTTTCTATTGACTAGCAATTGGCATGAATCTCTATCTTCTAAAGAAAAGTATTGTTACCAGACTAATACAAAGCTCTTCTGTTGTGTTTGTGTTCTGTGATCTGAAAATGTTGGGCGCTTTTTTTTTTTATTTTTATTGGTGCATTGAATTAAACTGCATTTCTAACTAATAAATCAGTTGTGGTAACCCTGCTGTTCATAGTTGGGAGGGGGAAGCAGGCAGTGAGCCCCTGGGATGAAAAACAGGGTGCAGGTTGGACAGGCACGTGTGTGCCTTCTGTATCCCTGCAGAGCAGCGGCTGGAGGGAGCAGGTACCAGTGCCAGTTGTCTGTGGAGTGTATGCTATATGTCTGTGTACCTTTTTTAGGAAATTCAGGGGGTTTTGTGGAGATGACAGGTCCTAAGCACAGCCTACAGGTCATGTTCAAGTAGCAGGATCTGTGGGGAATTGAGAGCTCGAGTTCCTCCTGTCTGCCTGGTTCCATCCTGGCAGGGAAGTGTACCCAGGGAAGGGCCTTGCTGCTGTGCTGATCCATGGTTGCTTTGGGAAACCAGACTGTTCCCACTGAATTAATAAAATAATGCAGGATCTTTGCCTATTTGATTTATCTTTAATGCTGATGTCTGTTCTCAGAATAACAAGGAAATTGGAGTGGAGTGCCAGGTAATTTTAGGAATGTTAGGAAGGACACCATCCTGCTTTCCCAGTATGGCTGAACACCTGCCTGCCCAAGGAAAGTGGGGAATAAATTCCTCACTTTGCTGTGCCTGTGCATGGCTTTTGTTTTTGTTTTATTAAACTACCTGTATCTCAATGTGTGAATTCTCTTACATCCCATTCTTCTACCTTCTCCCAGTGCCAGGTCAGGGAGGTGGAATGGAGGAAAGGCTAATTCATTAGCCCTCCCTGCTCTGGCCATTCTATGCACAGGGATGTTGGTCTTGGTACTCCTGTCATCTTCCTCACAGGAGGGCGTGTTAGTGTGAAACTTCGACAAAAAATTGATGTGTATTTTTTTAAAAAACCAAACTGTTCTCCAAACAATGCCCCTCCCTCCACTCATCATTCCTTGGGCTGAAGGTTGTAGCTCAGACTGGTGCTGGAGGCAGTGTTCACTCCGGTTTTACTGTGAAAGGGGACAGCCCACTCCTGGCACTTGGTATTTTTGAGCAGCTTGGCTGCAGCAGTGCTCAGCACTGCAATTAAGCAAGACCAAAGGGAGGAAATAATAGTTCATTATTGCTACAGTGTTTTACTACACACTGGAGCAGCCCAGACCCCAGAGCAGGAGTTTGGTTGAAAGCTTCCAAAAATGTGATTTTGTTCGAGCTGTGCAGGGTAGCAGGAGGGACTGCCCCATACCAGAACACATTAGCAATGGCATCTGCCCAAGAATTCATTTTAATGCACTACAACTGTTCTACTTCCCAGTGCAGGAAGGGCTGGAACAGCCTCTTTCAGGGAAGATGTCCACACTGTCCTGGAGTTTTACCCCCTATCACCAGAGCAACCTGCACTGATCCAACACCACACTGATCCAGTACCTCTCCTCACCACAGGACAGAACCTCTTGACACAAAATGTGTTCACTTGTACAAGGGCTTTGGGCTGAACTATAGAGTGGATCCCTGGTCAGCCAAAACTGCCTTAGTAAAGTCTTGGTCAAAATGTGAATGTGAGATTAAACCAGTTTGGAAGCAGCTCCCTCTGTCACATGCTGCCTCCAGCCATGACTATTACGAGAAACAGCTGGCTAGCAGCTGTTTGTGTGACCAGAAAACAACTGCCAGGGTATAGTCCCATAAAAAACACTTGGCGGTCTCTATTCCTTCTGGAAGAGTTGCTGTTTTCCCATTTCCCAGAGTCAACTTAATTTCAACCAGCAAGCAAACAAAAGGAAAACCCAAAACTCAATAGTAAACCCTTTTCTTCCAGAGGTCAGTGCCACATTTTGGACCAATAAATACATCAGGACACTGATGTTACTTGGTCTGTTCTCAGGCATTGGCCATGGGTGATTCTTTACAGAAAGCTGTTCTGGTATCACTGCGTGGTCACAAGCTTGACAATCATCCCGATGATCCGAGAACCGCGGGGGCACATGCACAAATCCATGCTGGGATTCTTGATTTTATCCTGCAGCAGCTGGTCCAGCTCACAGCGCAGCTCTTTCACCAGCTCAGCCACCTAACACACGTGTAAAACACAGGCAAGGGTAAGGCTCATCTCCAGCTCAGCTCTGCAGCTCTCCCAGGACGGCCCCTCCTCCTCCTCACCTGGTGAGAGGCAGCCACAAAGCGGATCCAGCCGTCGTCCAGGGAAATGACAAAGTCCCCCTTGAGCAGCTGCATGTGCACCTGGCCGCCCCCGAGCAGCACCAGCGGGTACACGGACACCATGCTGCAGTCCCGGATGAACACGCGGCTCGTCTTGATCTTCTCGTGGTACACCAGGTAGGGGCTCTCAAAGTGCCTGGTCTGAGACACAGGGACACAAGAGCCTGGTCAGAGTGACACTGCTCTTCCTGCTTCTACAGCTGCAGAGAGCAGCAAATGTGCCTAAAGTGCACCTGCAGCGCTAACAGACTCCTTGAGCGTAAGAGCTGCCAACAACTGTTGGCTCCAGAGGCTGGAGTTTAACTCTGTGCCTAAGAGGACACTCCTAACTCAGGAATGCACCATTATGTACAATCCTAACACAGGACTGTTCAGTCATTAAGATTTTTTATTTTAAACATCAATAGGGATCTTCACTGTAACTTTAAATACTCAAGCAAAGGTGGCTTCTTTTATAAAAAAAAAAAAAAAGCAGAAAAAAGCATCCTGACCTGATAATTCACAGATGATGGATGAATATGAACATAACCATCATTTTTAGTAACAAACTTCAGCTCTTCTGCTTTTGGTTGCATTTTGACCGCACCTGTACTGGTCTTCTGGTATTTACCCTCTGGCTTTTTCACCTGTATGGTAAGAAAAAAGGTTATAAAAATCTGCTGCACCAGAAAAACTTTTAACTTTATGTTCTAAACTTTTCAAAAACAGAAATTCTGTAGTAACAACACGGCGAGTCACTGGAGACAGGTATTACACTCCAGGTGCTAACCCTGACTTCCTTTGTAACCTCAGCCTTCTAAAAATGCGTAATTTTAAGTGGCTTCTTAACATTTGCTGCTGGCTTCAGCCTGCCATCAGCCTTTTAGAGCAGCAGCAGTCTCAGGCAATACAAAAGAGCTCTGCTCCAGTCTCTGACACCACAAGTAGCAAAGTTTGGCAACCTAAGCCAGGCTCAAGGCTGCCACACTGAGCCCAAATGAAAGCAGGCTGTGTGGATATGCTAGACAGAAAAAGGAAAAATGAAAAACCAATCCTTTTACCTGGACAACATTGGGATACAGTGCAGCACACAGCATTGCTGAGATCAGCTTGATGTTCTCTGCATTCGAGTTTGCCTGTGAAAGCAATAGGGGACCATTAGGGATCCTACAGCTCAGTGTGTAAAGGTGAATGACTGAATTCCTGAAACCAGTTCACTTTTATAGCTGCACTCCTGTGCTTCACAGAGGAGAACAAGTCACTGCTCCTGTGGCATCAGGCTGGACCTGGGCTGTGTTTCCCCCCACAATCAATGGAACAAACTGGCCACCACTATCGTGGTGCCCAGCTGAATTGTTCTTTGACATCTGGCTACAAAGTGGCTTGCACCCTAGAGAAAGCAAGCATAAGTTGTACCAGAGCACAGAAGATCTTACAGCTACCAAGCCCTGATCACTCTGATCATCATGTAAGCCCAGGACATCTCTGGCTCCAGTCTTCCTGAAGACAGCCCACGTGAAAAACTACAGCAGCATTTTGAAGCACTGAAGAAATGCTGTGAATCACCTCCTCTCCTGTGGCATCCAACACGCCATCGCCTCCTTGGGACCACTTCTTCTCAATATCCCTGGCTCTCAATCCCTCCTTCACAAAGCCAATGTCAGAAAGCAGCTCTGCAAACTGCCTCTTCAGACTGGCAATTTCCTGCAATAGACAGAGCACTGTGAGAGCTGCCACGCCCAGCAGGAAGAGTCTCCCCAGTGGCTTATTTCTGTCACTGGGATTCTGCCAGTCCCTGTGCCAGGCCACAAACACTGACTCACCTGAAGAACTCTGCCTGACAGAAAGTTCTCCCTGCAGTAGTTGTAGCTTGCTTGAGAGCCCTCTTTGATACTTAAACGCCATCCCTGATTGAGAGGATGGGAGGAAGCCTTTAATAAAACATTTCTGCTTGAATTTCAAAAATATCACAAAAACCCAAGAGAGGCTTCTGTGTTTTAACTCACCTTATAAGCCTGGAGAAGAGCCAGGTAGTCACTGTTTCCTACTGCAAACTCCAGCTTCTTTTTGTTTGCTTCTTCCCTTTTATCCCATGGTGACACCTAGACAGGCAGCAACAGGTTAGTGTGTTCTTCCCCATACCACTTGGACGAGCCCTTTTAGAGCTACATGGCACATTCTCTTTGGTATTTTCACAGCAGCTCACAGGTCAGAGTGCAAATTTTCCCTGCGGATAACAGAAAATATGAGGCATTCAAAAGAGCACCTGATTCAACACGCCAAAGTGACAGTGAAGACACAAACTGAGATCCAAACTGACCTCTGCATTCACAGCTCAGATGTGTCACCTCCATCATTACCACTGTTTCACACTTTATATTAATTAATTGGTGTAATTCTCACACCAAATTCAGACAAAATGTGTGCACTTATTAGCTAAAAATTGAAAATAATATTCACTGTTTCTACTGTATATAAATACCACTCTTGCTGCTACCACGTGGTTTCGAACTTCTGCTTTTAACTGGACTGTTTCACAAGCACTCCATTAACACATAAACAAGGTAGGCTAAAAAGAGGAATTACAATACTCAAGTGTAGCGTGCTGCAAGTCACAGCAGCATTTTGCTGACACACAGAAGCACAGCCCTTGGGTTAAGAATACTCACAAAAGGTGACTTAAAGGCCAGGCTGGCAGCTATGGTCAGCGCAGGATCCAGGCAGCGGAAAATGGTGCCAAACAGCATGAGTTTGCCAATCCTGACATCCACAGGGAGCGAAGCCAAGTGGTAACCCAAAGGGGTGAGCTTTTCATCTGGAGTTAACGCTCCCAGGTCCCGCAGTCGCACCTTTGATG